CAGGAGTTTACATATTTGTATGAGTCCATTTGTAGAAAGTTCTACAGTAGGCAGAAGTTCTTCTCTGTGGAAATTGAAGTCAGAAAGTGATTGCCTTGGAGCAGGTGGGATGGGATGGCTAGAAAGGAGCCTACGGGAAACTTCGGGGGTGATGGAGATGTTCTGTATCTTGTTTTGGATGGTGATCTTGTGAGTATTTAAAAATATTAAAACAACTAAATGAACAATTAAGAACTGGTTGTTTTATTATATATAAATTATACTTTAATTAAACACACACACTCAGAAGCACACTTTCAGTGGCTCTTAGAATAAAGGAAAAACTTCCTCATGGGATCTACAAAGCACCGTCAGGTCTATTCTGCCGGTCCTCACCCTGCACCAACTTCCCCCTGGCTTTCTCTGAGTCAGCTACAGTGGTTCTTACTTCATCTACACTGGGGATAACCTCTCCGAAGAGCCTTTGCACAGATCTCAATTCAGTTGTCCCTTCCTTAGGAAAGTTCTTTCCTGAACTCCCTGATTAGACCAACCCTCCTGGTACGTAGCCTCATTTCATGATGCACCTCTCCTCTATTTCAGCAGTAGCATTAGCTACATTTATCTGTGTGTTTTTATAGCTCAGTGTCCAGTGTACTCACTAGTTTGTAAGTTAGGGCAGGAACCATCGCTGGTTCTCCAGTGTATTTCCCGTGCCTAACCATAGAGTTTTGCATGCAGTAGATGCTCAAGAATTACAGGATGAATGAATGAGGGATCTGTTGATTTTCTTACTTATAGGAAATGGTGACTATTACAGTAGTGGGAACGACCTGACTAACTTCACTGATATTCCCCCTGGTGGAGTAGAGGAGAAAGCTAAAAATGGTGCCATCTTACTGAGGTAAGAGTAACTGACCTTCCTGTGATCCCAGAGCGCCCGTTCTTAGTCATCAAAGTGGTATTTAGTTGAGCAAAAGTGAAATATCTACTTCTCTGTGTCAGTGCAGTTAATTGTGACTTTGGACAAGCATATTTCTCTAAACTGCCTCCATCCATTGGTGGGCATTCATTCTCTGTCTTTGACCTCTGTTACCTGTTCATCTTGCTGGTCTCATGAGATTTGACTGGAAAACATAAGAGTGAGCTATAGTTGTAAACAAAATTACCTTGCACTGAGGTAGAGGAAAGTGGCAAATTCTCCTCCAGCCAGCGGAATGGGCGATTTCCATGAATGCTCAAAGTAGGAGACTCGGAGGAGTCTTATAAAACACAGGAGGACGTCATGAAGCCTTTCCTCTTTTTTCCTGCCAAATCTGCCATTGCCACTTGCTGTGATATTGCAGCGTGTGCTCAGTCACCCAACCTCATCTCTAAGACTGCGGCTGGTTTACAGCCCTGCACTCGCTGTCCAGAATACAGGATTCAAACCAGGGTTGACCCATAGGTCTCTCTGGTTGGTCTTCCATCCACTGCCATTCAAATGGATGCCCTGGATGAATCCGGTGCGGAAGATCAGGGAAGTAGCAGGACAGGGAGGCACTGCCGGTGGTGGCAGTGGAAATACCCAGCCTGACAAAAGGCTTTATCTCACAGTCAGACCGTCTTGCCCATGCTTCAGTCATGCTGCTTTGGCACATTTCATGATTTTCTGTTTCCATTTCTGTAGGGAATTTGTGGGCTGTTTTATAGATTTTCCTAAGCCTCTGATTGCAGTGGTCAATGGTCCAGCTGTGGGCATCTCCGTCACCCTCCTTGGGTTATTCGATGCCGTGTATGCATCTGACAGGGTAAGTCAGCTCCCAGAAAACAAGAGGTCAGGCAAGCGGCGCGAGACGGGAGCCTTTGAATCCTCCTTCAGCGTTGCCAGTCATAAGCAGGTTACATGTTGTTTGTGGTAGAATTAACTGAATTTAGATTTTTCCCGAAGCATTAGTCTAATTTGACTGATTTTATTTTTCTTTCATTATTAACTTGCGTTTTGTTGTAAACATGGTTCCAACTCTGATTGTTCTAGATTCTAATCAAGTTCCACAACAGGTATTCAGTTTTCATGTTACTCTGAAATATTCAGGAGACACTTGAAAATTTTTTATGGGAGGGAGGAACAGCATCTTTGCAGGTTGTGCAAGGGATTATTTAATCCTTTTTACTGAGTAAATGGATATAGAATTTTAGAATGAGAAGGAACTGTGAGCATTATCTACTCTCACTCCCTTTGCAGGTAAGAAAACTGAAGCTCTGAGAAATTCCTTGCCCAGAACACAATTCAGCCTTGTGTTCACCATTGCATTATATAGATTTTAGTTTTTAGTTTTACTATAGTAGTAATATATATGTCACAGTGGAAAATAAAATTTTGAAAGATATGAAAAAGTACCAAGAAAAGCTACAAGGTAAAAATCACCCCTTATCTTGCCACCTAGAGATAACCAGTCCTAACATTTGGGTTATTAACTTACCTTGTTTAACCAGTCCCTGCCTGCTGGAACCCTAGGCTGTTTCCAATTTTTATCATTACAAGCACCTAATAACCACCTTTAGGGCATCAGATTGTTCCAGTGACTTACGCTTATGTGATGGTAAAATGTGCTGATTACAGCCTTCTAGGAAACATGGTTTTTACCACTGAAGAGATTTCTAGTTTTGTTCAGAGGTATTTTCCCCACTGATACACAGGACCATATAATAGCATCCTTAATTCTTTGAATTTTCTTTTGCTGGATTCCATTGAACCAGATTGGATGTATTGACAGACCTAATTCTTATGAATAATTTTCCCACAAAAAATAGCAAATGAGATTCGAGGTGCCAGGCTGCCCAACCTTTGTAGGTGGAGGTTTCTGTTCAAAGGCAGAAATCAATGTCTTTGTTCACAGTCTTGTGTTATATGACTGATTAGTCATCGACCTGCTTTTAACAGGGACTGGGTCAATAGTTCCTGACCTAAAATTGGGGATCTCTTTCTTTAATACTTGGAGGGCAAATATTGTATTTGAATCTTGTTCTGATTCTCCCACTGAATTGAAAATTACTTTCAATATACATCATTTTTTTTTTAAGAGATGGAAATCTCAGTCTGTCACCCAAGCTGGAGTGCAGTGGCATGATCTTGGCTCACTGCAACCACCAGCTACCGGCTTCAAGCGATTCTCCCACTCAGCCTCCTGAGTAGCTGGGATTACAGGTGCACGCCACCACACCCAGCTAATTTTTTTGTATTTTTAGTAGACACAGGGTTTCACCGTGTTGGCCAGGCTGGTCTCGAACTCCTGACCTCAAGTGATTTGCCTGCCTTGGCCTCCCAAAGTGCTGGGAGTACAGGTGTGAACCACCAAGCCTGGCCTACGTCATCCTTTTAAAAATTTTGATGACTTCCATCTTATGATATAAATGATAAATGTTGAAATCAGAGAAGATATATACACAATATATATAAAACGTATCTAGTCTATATATTATAATATATATTGCATATGTATATTAAATGTTAAAAAATTTGGCCAAAAGTAAAATTTATTTGTCAAATAGTATCTGCTGATAAAAGTTTACCCAATCTAATAAACCAAGCATCAATTTAAAATAAAGGAAATTGGGGTGGGCAGATCACCTGAGGTCAGGAGTTGAAGACCAGCCTGGCCACCATTGTGAAACACCATCTCTACTAAAATTATAAACATTAGCAGGGCTTGGTGGCGGGTGTCTGTAAGCCCAGCTACATTGGAGGCTGAGGCAGGAGAATTGCTTGAACCGAGGAGGTGGAGGTTGCAGTGAGCCAAGATCGTACCACAGCATTCCAAGCTGGGTGACAGAGCGAGACTCCATCTCAAAAAAATATGTAAGTAAAAAATAAATTAAATAATGGAAATATGCTAAAGGAAAAGGCTGTAGAAAAAATCGTTTTATAGGATTTATCATTATTGGCTTCAAGAATAAATATATTAAATGATGGGTTAATATTTAATCCATATAACCAAAATATTAATTAGTACATTTTATCTATTTTGTACTGTGGGCAATCGTTACTAATGCCTATTAGCTCTGTCAGCAAATGATACATTTCCTGTATGAGTTTAAAAAAAGGTAGAAATCATAATGATAAATCTTTGAGTGGTCACTGTTTAGGCACTCTGTTAACATGCATTGTATTTATTATAAGTATACGCATACACGCATACATATTCACATCATGTACAGAGCAGCCCTATGAAAGAAGGACTTGGCCGGGTACAGTGGCTCACACCTGTAATCCCGGCACTTTAGGAGGCCAAGGCAAATGGATCACCTGAGGTCGGGAGTTCAAGACCAGCCTGGCCAATGTGGTGAAACCCCATCTCTACTAAAAATACAAAAATTAGCCAGGTGTGGTGGTGGGCGTCTGTAGTCCCAGCTACTTGGGAGACTGAGGCAAGAGAATTGCTTCAACCCAGGAGGCAGAGGTGGCAGTGAACTAAGATTACATCACTGCACTCAAGGCTGGGCAACAGAGCGAGACCCTGTCTCTAAAAACAAACATTCTCCTGTGTTTTTAGGAGTGTGGCAAAAATAATTTTTACAGTCTAGGCTGGGCATGGTGGCTCATGCCTGTAATCTCAGCACTTTGGGAGGCCAAGGCAGGTGGATCACTTGAGGTCAGGAGTTTGAGGCCAGCTTGGCCAACATGGTGAAGCCCCGTCTCTACTAAAACTACAAAAATGAGCTGGGTGTCATGGCACATGCCTGTCATTACAACTACTCGGGAGGCTGAAGCAGGAGAATCGCTTGAACCCGGGAGACAGGTTGCGGTGAGCCGAGATTGTGCCACTGCACTCAAGGCTGGGCGACAGAGTGAGACTCCGTCTCAAAAAAAGAAGGTTCCCATTTTACAAATGAGAAAACTGGCCCAGAGAGGGTAAGAAACCTTCCCAAAGTCACTAAGTAGTCTGATGCCAGAGCCTAAACCCTAAACCCTTAACTCCATCTTCTGCTGTCTTTCTGAAAATAAGCATTTTAAATGCTGCTTATTGGCAACTTTGCATGTACCTGTTTGTGTCCCTTTAGCTGTTGTTGGCAGTTTTCTCAGTTTCCTGCTTACATTCCTTAGGCTGTGTCTTCTGGGTACACTTTTTTGAATAAGTTTTCTTTTGGATAAAAAAAGAAGATACATGACATTAACAAACTTTTTAAAATATTTTGATTTTTTGATTATTTTTATTTATATGCTGCATAGCATACATTATAGTTTTATATCTTCTAACAATCATGCATTAAAAACAACACCGTGTCTGGTTATAGGAAATGAAATCTAAATATTCTTAGTATTGAAGTTAGATAAAATTTAGATACATATGGCCAAATTATGAAGTTAAATATGAAAATTTAGATAAATTTAGATATTCTTATCATCTAAATACATATTATAAATTTTAAATTAACATTCTTTCATAATTTACTCAAGAAACACAAAAATGTTTCTTAAATGTAAAAAAATGAAAAAACTAAAAATGACTATATACTAAATAACCAATATTGAATTAATTCCAGTAGTTAAAGCCAATCAAAAAACCACTGGGGCAAAATTAAGACAAATGACAGATTGAGAAAACAGTTTTTCAACTCATGTAACAAAAGCTGATCTCTCTACAGTATTTTTAAAAGTTTGTCTATAAAGCTAGAATAAAAATGAGCAATGGTGAGGAATGAATAGGTTAGACAAAATGAAATGTAAAGGGCTATTAAAACCATATGAGAGAAACCATTGAGAAAATGAAAAGATAAGCCACAGACCAAGAGAAAAGATTTGCCTGAAGCCACAGAGCAGGAAAAAAGATTTGCCTGATGCTCTAATAAAAGACTTGCAACCTGAATGTGTATCTTAAAACTATATAATAAGAAAGTAAACAGCCTAACTTAAAAAATAGTGAACAAAATATCTTAACAGTTGCTTCACCAAAGAAAATATACATATGTCTAATAAGTACATGGTAAAAGACTTCATACCATTAATGGTTAGGGACACGTAAGTTAAAACCACAGTGAGACCCCACTACACACCTACTAGCATGGTTAAAATGAAGAAGACTTTTAATAGCTAGGTTTGGTGAGGATGTAGAGCAATTGGAACTTTCATACATTGCTGGTGGGAATGTCACATGGTACAACCACTCTAGAAAACAGTTTAGCGGCTTCTAATTTACCACACAGCCCAGCCATTCCACCACTTAGGTATTCACCTGTGATAATTGCAAACACTCAGTTTTCACCCAGTGACCTGTACACAAGTGTTCCTAACTACCTTTTGGTTAAAATTATCTGAACATTTTTATTTTTTATTTTTTTTTTTCAGTTTCATTGAGGTATAATTGACAAATAAGAATTGTACAGTCAGGTGCGGCATAACAACATTTCAGTCAATGACAAACTGCATGTAAAACGGTGGTCCCCTAAGATTGTAACACCATATTTTACTATACCTTTTTTTTTTTTCCACTCTGTCACCCAGGCTGGAGTGCAGTGGCATGATCTTGGCTCACTGCAGCCTCCTCCTCCCGGGTTCAAGCAATTCTTGTGCCTCAGCCTCCCGAGTAGCTGGGACTCGAGGTGCACACCACCACACCAGGCTAATTTTTGTATTTTTTAGTAGAGATGGGGTTTCACTATGTTGGTCAGGCTGGTCTCAAACTCCTGACCTCAAGTGATTTGCCCACCTCCGCCTCCCAAAGTGCTGGGATTACAGAGGTGAGCCACCACACCCAGCCTACCTTTTCTATGTTTGATATATTTAGATACACAAATGCCATTTGTTATAACTGCCTAGAGTATTAAGTATAATAACATGCTGTCCAAGTTGGTAGCCTGGAAGCAGTAGGCTGTACCACATAGCTAGGTGTGCAGCAGGCTCTAGTGTCCAAGTATATGTAAGTATACTCCGTGACGTTGGCACAATGACAAAATTGCCTAATTAGGCATTTCTCAGAACATATCCCCATTGTTAAGCAACACACGACTGTATATTTAAGGTGTTCAACTTGTTTTTCATGGCAACCTTCTAGTAGCCTTTCATACATTGCTGGTCGCAAATGTGAAATGGTACAACCATTTGAATACTAGAAACAACACCAATGACATTAACTGGTGAATGATAAACGTATTATTGTACCTGCATACAAAGGAATACTACTCAGAAATAGCAAGGAACAAACTACTTATACAACAGCATGGTGACTCTCAGAAGTCAGACTCAAAAGGCTACAGAATGTAGGATTCCACTTACACAACATTCTGTAAAAGTCAGAACTGTGGGGACAGAAAACAGATTAGCAGTTGCCTGTGGGTGGGAGGGAGGGACTGACTACAGAAGGGCCCCCAGAACCTTTCGGGGTGGTTGAAATGTTCCACATCTCAATAGCGGTGGTGGCTACATAAGTCTGTATTTGTTAAAACTCATCCAACTATACACTTTTAGATGGTGAATTGTGTGTGTATATTAACCACATAATCTTAATTTTTAAATAAATATTATTAAGTATTGTGAAGTTATAAGCAAATCATGATTTTTTAAAATAACACACGAAACCAGGCGCGGTGGCTCACGCCTGTAATCCTAGCATTTTGGGAGGCCAAAGGCAGGTGGATCACCTGAGGTCAGAAGTTTGAAACCAGCCTGGCCAACATGGCAAAACCCCGTCTCTACTAAAAATACAAAAATGAGCCAGGCATGGCAGCACATGCCTGTAATCCTAGCTACTCGGGAGGCTGAGGCAGGAGAATTGCTTGAACCTGAGGGGCAGAGGTTGCAGTGAGCCGAGATCACACCACTTCACTGCAGCCTGGGCAGAAGAGCGAAACTCTGTCTCAAAAAAAAAAAAAAAAATCACACATGGAAAGATGGTTTTCTTTTCTCTCCTGCCCCTGCAGGCAACATTTCATACACCATTTAGTCACCTCGGCCAAAGTCCGGAAGGTTGCTCCTCTTACACTTTTCCGAAGATAATGAGCCCAGCCAAGGTAACTTTTGGAATGTTTAAAAATAAAATTGTATGGGTCCCTCCGTTCTTTCCCTTGCTAATGTGGACAAAAGAGAAGCTAATTATTTGCTCTTCAACTCGAAGAGTTTTACCCATGGAGGAATCAGGCTATGGGAAGTATCTGCGATGCAGGAAAATTAGACATTCTCCCTGCACCTCCCGGAACTGGGATCCTCCTCTTTCAGCTGGCTGCTTAGTGCCAGCTGCATTGCAAGCAGTACACCACCTCCGCGTTGCAGCTGTGTGGCTTTAGTCCCTTGAAGGACCAGGGCTGTGCCGCCTCCCTTGGTCCCCTGAGTTTGGAGGCCACTCGGTTCCTTTATGGATGACCAGTGTCTCCTAAGGAGAAACACGATGATGTCTTCATTTTCAGAGTTATGGTAGGTACCAACAGATGGGAGGTGTTGGGGGCTCACTGCTGCCAGAGCCACTCTCAATCACAGCAGCCCCTCCCTCGGCCTGCCTCACAGCTATTCTCTCCCAGGCTGGTTAAGTGGCTGCTCAGGTCTTTCACTGTGTTTGCTTGTGGCCAATGCCCTGTGGCATGACTTAAAGGGGATTGTGACAAGACTAGAAGCTGAGTTATAGGAAAAGGCTTGGCAAATATTCTTCAAGATCTCAAAGTGGGGCAGCGGGAATTGAGCCTGTTTTCATTGCCTATTAGGATTTTGTTAAAAACTTGTATGTTTTTACTCTCATTAGGCTATCACAGACCCTGAATTGAACTTGGGAAGGGGGCAGAACTGACTCTACAAGTCTTAGAGCATTTAACTAATTAGAGCATTCCTTGGCCGGGTGCAGTGGCTCACACCTGTAATCCTAGCACTTTGGGAGGCCGAGGTTGGTGGATCATTTGAGATCAGGAGTTCAAGACCAGCCCGGCCAACATAGTGAAACCCCATCTCTCCTAAAAATACAAAAATTAGCCGGGCATGGTGGCGGCCACCTGTAATCCCAGCTACTCAAGAGGCTGCGGCAGGAGAATCATTTGAATTCAGGAGGCGGAGGTTGCAGTGAGCCAAGATCATGCCACTGCACTCCAGCCTGGGCAACAGAGTGAGATCCTGTCTCAAAAAAAAGAAGAGCATTCCTTTTCTGGAAAAGAAATTGCAAATGTAGAGAGGATATCCGCTTAATGTCTTCAGTTTTTTCGGAAGCGTAACTGTAAGTCTTTACTTTCCTTCAGTCAAATAGAACTAATTTGAGTACCAATGCACGTAAAGAAAAGTCTCAGAGCCAGATCACTGGGTAGAGTTTCCAGAGAATGGAATTTTGAAAGTTTCTAAAGGTTGACCCAATGACCGTGATTTTTCTTTCCTTTTTGCCTCTTTAAAATAATAGTTTATAGTGTATAAAATGGAAAATCACAGTTGCTGTGGGTTATAGAATCAGGCATCTGCTTCAGATCATTTCTGCCCTGGGCCCCCTAATCTTGCCCCTCCAACAACGACACACACAGGAGCAGCAGCCCTTACAGACCTTCCCGGGAGCCTGTCTCAGCACACAGTTTGCAAACCATTGCCTGCTGAGGTCATCAGCTTCTCCCTTACTGAGAAATACCAGCAACCTCAAAAGACCATGAGTAAATCTCTCTCAGCCTCCTGAAAGCAGTGAACGGAAGCCTTGTTTTATTAAGTTACTGTCTTAACCTTGCTTCTTGCTTTTCATTTCAGGCAACAGAGATGCTGGTTTTTGGAAAGAAGTTAACAGCAGGAGAAGCATGTGCTCAAGGTCTTGTTACTGAAGTTTTCCCTGATAGCACTTTTCAGAAAGAAGTCTGGACCAGGCTGAAGGCATTTGCAAAGCTTCCCCCAAATGTTAGTAGTTATCTTTTACTTCTAAGAACCTTGAAAATGATTTCCTAAGGGAAAAATGTATTTGCCTTCAGAGAATAAGTCATAAACACAAGACACATCTTCAGTTACCTCTAAGCACATCGAAATTTGGGATTAAGAAATAACTGTAGTAATGTTGGAAATACAGTACTGATTTTTACAAAACTTATCAAATAGACCTTCCATTTCTGTGTGGGGACGGAGGGGCAATTCTGTATGGGGATTGCTTGAGCAGGATGCTAGGCAGTATTTGCTGAGCACTTTTACTTTGGAATCCAGGTGAGAAGCGTGGATTAGCTACTTTAGGAGAGTCTTACTATGTAGCACTTTTGTTTTTATATGTGGTAGTGAGTGAGTGACTGCTTTTATATTCTTGCTATTCAAAATGTAGTCCTGGAACCAGATGCTTGAGCAACTACTTGAGGCTTTTTGGAAATGTGTTATCACAGGTCTGCCCCACACCTACTGAAGTGATTTATATGCACACTGAATTTTGAGAAGCCCTGTCTTATATTACACATGCAGCTTAAGATTTAACAGCATTAGGGCCGAGAACGGTGGCTCATGCCTATAGTCTCAGTACTTTGGTAGGCAGAGAAGGGCAGATCACCTGAGGTCAAGTGTTCAAGAACAGCCTGACCAACATGGCAAAACCCCATCTCTATTTAAAAAAAAAAATACAAAAATTAGCCAGGCATGGTGGTGGGTGCCTATAATCCCAGCTGCTCTGGATGCTGAGGCCGGGAGAATTGCTTGAACCAGCGAGGTGGAGGTTGCAGTGAGCCAAGATAGCATCACTGTACTCCAGCCTGGGCGACAGAGTGAGACTTTGTCTCAGAAAAAAAAAAAAAAAGATTTAACAGGATTCATTAAATGAACATGGGAGAAACAAGAACCAGAATCATAGAATAATCCCACTCCTGTTAGATTAACTTTTTTTTTTCTTTTTGAGACAGAGTCTCACTCTTGTCACCCAGGCTGGAGTGCAATGGTGCAATCTCGGATCACTGCAACCTCCGCCTCCCGGGTTCAAGCGATTCTCTTGACTCAGCCTCCTGAGTAGCTGGGGTCATAGGCATGTACCATCACAACCAGCTAATTTTTGTATTTTTAGTAGAGATGGGATTTCACCATGTTGGCCAGGCTGACCTTGAACTCCTGACCTCAACTGATCTGCCCGCCTCGGCCTCCCAAAGTGCTGGGATGACAGGCATGAGCCACCACCTCAAGCCTAGATCAACTCTTCACCTTATTGTTGGTTTTGTTTTTCCAGGCCATGAGAATTTCAAAAGAGATAATCAGGAATAGAGAGAAAGAAAAACTACACGCTGTTAATGCTGAAGAGTGCAGTGTCCTTCAGGGAAGATGGCTGTCAGATGAATGCATGAATGCAGTGGTGAGCTTCTTATCCAGAAAATCGAAACTGTGACGACCACTACAGCGGAGTGAAGCATGTCCAACGAAGGATGTGCTGTTACCTCTGATTTCTAGTACTTGAACTAAATAAGCTTCACTGTGCCTTTTGCAGTACTAAAATATCAGTTACAATGATGATATTTCACTACAGCCCTGATGACTAAAAATTTTGTAAAACAAGCTTAAGAATCCACATAGGTTTTTGGTAGTAGAGAGTCTTACGTCTTTTGACATGAATCGTTGTTGCCAGGAACACTGGAACATGGTGCCTGGGGTCCTACTTTGAAAAGCACTCACAGCATTACAGGCTGAAGTCATGTCTTTGAATGCCACGATAGCACTTTGACGTCCACAAACAGTGACTGACTGAATTGGGCCAAACGCGGACAGCCTACAGATCACTGACTTGAGGTCTTCGGTGGGTTGCATGTTCTTTTTCAGCCATCTAGCAAGGGAGCAAAATGGAAGGAATAGTATTACTAGAAAACAAGAATCTTAGTTGGGTTTTTTTTTTTTTTTTTGGACAATTTAATAAAGAGGCATGAAGGGAAAATTGGGTCATTTCATTGGAAAGCAATGCTCTGCATCAGTAATTGTTTTCTTATTTGTTAGAAAGTCCCATTGTTTCATGTGGTAGTTTATGGAAGGCATACCTGCAAGCTCCCTTGATTGACCTTGCAACATCCTGTCTTGATTTCATAGCTATCACTTGACAAGGACTGAGGGTGTAATTCCAAGGGCTACAGAAAAGGATGGGATATTTTGCTTTTCCTAGTCTTCCGTTTGACCTTTTCTTCAAGGTCAAAGTTAGCTAACTCACCAAATCTCTTAACTTTTTAGTTCTAAATTGTTTATTCCAGTAATTGTAATCCAAAATGTTCAGTTTTATCGAAAATAGAATAGAAATAAGCATTAGTTTCGATTGAGCAGTTACTAGTGCTTAATGCCCATTATCATATTTTATCCACCAAAAGCAATGCCAAAAATTAAAAATGAGGTCTGTTGCTACTACCCATTTTCAGGTAGGCATCCCGAGACATAGAGATTAGCTTCTCCAGAGTCAAATTTCTGGTAAATGTCAAAATGAAGATAAAAACCCAGGCAGAGTTTTCATTCCACAGTGGCCGCACAAGCCAACTACTGCCCATTCCTCCCACAAATTACAACTAAAATCTCTACATGAAATATGAAAAAGAACTACTTGAGCATGCTGAAATTAATCAAAAGCAGGTGGATTGTGGAAGGGTGTCAAAATACAGAGAAGCAACTACACAAGGATACGTTTCCCAGATTACAAGAAATAAACACAATTGCTGGAATCTATCTCCTGAGCATGGTGTTGGAAGTAATGGCAAAAACTGCAATTACTTTTGCACCAACCTAATACTTTTGCCTCAAAGGCACACCCCTATTGTGGAGCAGTGCTGTGACGACCATGGAGTGGCCAGCCAAATAGAAGCTGAGGAAAACAAAAACACCTTGAAAAGCAAAAGGGCCCTCTGGGGGCTAAAGAGTGAAAGCAAGAAGAGAATCCCAGAGCGGAGAGAAAGAAGTTCTAATTCTGCATATGAACCCAGATAAGTCTGATTCATAAGTGAGACAGACTCAAACTAGCAGAGCAAAGGCTTTGTGAAGTGTACTGGGATTTTAACCACCACCCACAGAAGATCAAGACAGCTTGAAGTCAATCTAACCAGATTGATTTCTTGCCAAAACAAAAACAGCATTTTCCAGATGATTGTAACATGATCCACAAAAACATAACTTCCATCCAATGCCACAATATAGTAAATATTATACCTTGTAGATCCTGGGATCCCTGTGCAGTTGCTTCTCTGTCTATTATGTCATATGGATCCACAATCCATCCATACAACAGAATATCTAAGGCCCTAAGAAGAATATTTACAAAATTATGTGACATAGAAACAAACATGGAAATGTGAACACTTGGGTGAAATAGACAATCTGCACATGTCAATCCTGAGATGACCTGGACTTCGGAATTTTTACACACAGTCTTATAGTTCTTATTACTACATCCCATGAGGTCAAGAAAAATACACTAGAAATGATTTTAAAATATATGAATTTTCAAAAGAGAAATGTTGAAAAGAGAACCAAACAAAATTTAGAACTAAAAATGTAAAAAATAAAAATTCACGGAAGAGACTCACTAGATGCAAACTAGATGAAAAAGGAATGAGTCAGTGAACCTTGAAGATATATCAATAGAATTTAATATGAAGAACAGAGATAAGGAAATACAAGGAAAAAATGAATTAACAGTGATATCAGCAAGATGATGAAAGAGGAAGTTCTAAGCCCTCATACTCCCACAGAAACATCAAATAAATACAGACCGACTAAAATAACTTGATGAGTTCTGGAAACTAGTCAGATACCTCCAGCAAACAAGTGAATGCCCAATCAAGAAAGTCACCTTAAAAATGGTAGGAACTGGCAGGGCACAGTGGCTCATGCCTGTAATCCAAGCACTTTGGGAGGCCGAGGCAGGCGGATCACAAGGTCGGGAGTCCAAGACCAGCCTGGCCAACACGGTGAAACCCCATCTGTACTAAAAATATAAAAAATTAGCCAGGCTTGATGGCACACACCTGTAGTCCCAGCTACTCAGGAGGCTGAGGCAGAAGAATCGCTTGAACCTGGGAGGTGGAGGTTACTATGAGCCGAGATTGTGCCACTATATTCCAGCCTGGGTGACAGTGAGACTCCACCTTAAAAAAAAAAAAGTAGGAATTTGTGGGGAAAAGAAAGAGAGATCAGACTTACTGTGTGAAAAGAAAAGGGGGAAATGTAGGGAAAAGAAAGAGAGATCAGACTGTTACTGTGTCTATAGACACAGTAGAGATCAGTCTGATCTCTCTTTCTTTTCCCCACAGGAATTTTTGTAATATTTGCTCTTACCCTCCTCCCTGTGTGGTGCAGTCAGAGGCAACTGGCCCAATCCCCTGTTCCCTCCCTCAGGACAGGAGCAGAGTGAAACTTGTTGTAACATCCTGGCCTGTCTGTGGGCTGCCTATGGAACTGGTGTCTATAATGTCCAACTCAGATATCAGACAGGAAACAGCAAATAGTTTTGATTTCAGGCTGGAAGCCACAGAAGGCAGTGGTGAGCAACGCAGCACATGAAAACTACACAGGGATTGCTGCCCTGTGGGCTTCTGAGGGCAGGAGATTACAAACAGAAGAATACAATAGAGTATCTAAGGCCCTAAGAAAGAGCTGCAGTGAGACTTTAGGAAATGAAAACCTTTAAAATCACCTGCGATGGGGAGGAGGCGCCACAAACACATTCACCGGAAGGAAGCATGCCTAGAAAATACCCGAGAAGACCTGGACTAATCTCAGATTAGTGAAGGTCTCATGGGCTCACAAATTAGTGAGGTCTTACATGCCAGTCTGCAAAGACTGGGAGAGTGGCCACATTTTTTTTAAATACCCAGTTTTCAAAAAGAGATCATAAGGCATGTAAAGAACCAGGAAAAGATGGCCCATTCAAATGAAAAAAATACATCTCCAGAAACAGTTCTGGAAGAAACACAGGCATCAGGCTTACTAGACTTTAAAACAACTGTCGGCCAGGTGCAATGGCTCATGCCTGTAATCCCAGCACTTTGGGAGGCCAAGGCAGTCAGATCACTTGAGGCCAGGAGTTTGAGACTAGCCTGGCCAACATAGTGAAACCCCATCTCTACTAAAAATACAAAAAAATTGAGACATGGTGCTGCACACCTGTAATCCCAGCTACTCAGGAGGCTGAGGCATGAGAATCACTGGAACCCAGGAGGCAGAGGTTGCGGTGAGCCAAGATCACATGACTGCACTCCAGCCTGGGCAACAGAGTGAGACTCTGTTTCAAAACAACAAACAACAACAAAAAAACCCCACAACTGTCAAACATACTCCCAGAACGAAATAAAAACAGGAACAAAGAACCAAAGAAAGGAAAGCATATGAACAAAATGAGAATATCAATAAAGATAGAAATCATAAAAAAAAATTCTTGAGCTGAAAAGTACAATAACTGATTTGAAAATTTTATTAGAGGAGTTCAACAGCAAACTCAAATAGAAGAAAGAATAAGCAAATTTGAAATCAGCTCATTTGAAATTATTGCATTTGAGAAGCATACAGAAGAAAAATACAGTGAACAGAGGCTTAGGGACTTATGAGTTGCCATCACGCTGACCAATACATGCATAATGGGAGTCCCAGAAGGAGGTGAGAAAAATGAGAAGAGCGACTATTTGAATAAATAATAGCTGAAAACATGCCAAATATGAGGAAAGACATGGATATACAAATCCAAGCTCAATGGTCTTCAAGTAGGACAAACCTAAAGAGACCCATACGGAAATACATAATCAAAGCTGGCAAAAATGCCAGATAAAGAGAATCTTGGAAGGTATCAAGAGAAAAGTTACTCATTATGTACAAGAGATCTGCAATAAGACTATCAGTGTATTATTTCAGTAAGAACCTTGGAGATTAGAGGCAGTAGGATGATATATTTAAAGTGCTGAAAATTAAAAAAAAAAGAAAAAACAACTGTCAACTGAGAATTCTATACCTGGTAAAATATTTCTTCAAAAATGAGGGAGAAATTAAGACATTCCCATAAAAACAAAAGCTGAGGGAGTTTATTATTACTACACCTGCCCTACAAGAAATGTTAAAAGAAGTCCTTCAGTTTGAAATGAAATAATGCTAGATGGTAACTGGAAGACATATGAAAATATAAAGTTCTCCAGTAAAGGTAAATATATGAACAAATATAAAAATAGTAGGAATGTAATTTTTGTTTATAGCTCCACTTTGGATTTTCTACAGGATTTAAGAGACAATTGCATAAAATAATTATGAATCTATGTTAATGAGTATATAATATTAAATGGTATAATTTGTGACATCAATAATATAAGGGGAGAAGAGCTTTAAGGAAGTAGAGTTTTTATACACAACTGAAGTTAAGTTGGTATCAATTAATATAGATCATCATAACTCTAGGATATTATATGTAATGCCCAAGGTAAACACCAAGAAAATATACACAAGCAGAAGTGAGAAAGGAATCAAAATGTGCCATTACAACAACTTTAAACATAAAGGAAGGAAGGCAGTAATCAAGGAAATGAGGGAGAAAAAAAGCTGTAAGGGACAGAGAAAACAAAATGGCAAAAGTAATTGCTTTCTTAGCAATTACTTTAAATATAATTGGATTGAAAACATATCAAAAATCATAAGTTGGCAGAGTGGATATAAAACCAGAATCAACTGTATACTGTCTAAAAGAGTCTCACTTTAGATCTGAGGATATGAGTAGGGTGAAAGTGTAAGGATTAAAAAGATATTCCATGCCAATAGTTATAAAGAGACAGCAGAAATGGCTATACAATTGATAAAATAGACTTTAAGTAAAAG